AGCAGCAGCAGCAGCAGCAGCAGCAGCAGCAGCAGCAGCAGCAGCAGCAGCAGCAGCAGCAGCAGCAGCAGCAGCAGCAGCAGCAGCAGCAGCAGCAGCAGCAGCAGCAGCAGCAGCCGCGCAGCAGAGACAGCCGGTACGGCCTTCGCCGGGAAGCGGCGCGGGGCCTACGCCCCTTGCGCGCCCCGCCTCTTCACCGGCGATGCCACCTTGGCCGCGAGGGAGGCACTCCCTGCGCTCAAGATGCTCGGCCAGCGCTTCTTCCGCCTCCCATGCTTTCGAGGGCGACGAAGAGGGGGGCCAGGAAGAAGGGGGTGCCCACTTTCCGACGATGTGAGTTTCTACATCTGGGCGTCTTTCCCCGATTTCGGCCTCCGGGGCCAACCATCGGGCCCCGGGACCATCGAACATGGATCTGGGACGGAAAAGTGGCCCTGGTGGAGGGGTCAGGACCTCTGGGGGCACGCATTGAAGGAAACATGTCGGCGGATGCCTGGGGTCGGCGCACCCTGGCCCGAGGCGCGTGCGCGGACGAGGGAGGGGGCAGGGGGCGTGCGTGCTGAGAGCGGAAAAAGGGGGCCATGGCATCTGGGAGACCTCGCGGCCTTGGCCGCGAGGTCCGCGCGCGCCCCCCGAGGCGCCAGCAGCTGGAGGGCATCCCCGGGCGAGGAAAGCGCCGGGGACCAGCGGCAAACTGCCTCCCCCCCGCCCCCGTCGGCGCCCCCGATGCTCCAGAGGCTGCGGCGCGGGGCTGCTGCGGGGCCCCTGCAGCGCGCCCCCGCGCACGAAGGCGGCGAACTCCTCGCTGGAGGCACAGAAAATCACTTGAGGCAAATGTGTTGCGCCAACATTGAAGGGGCCCCAGGACACACAAATAAATACACACAACTTAAAAAATATGTTCCCTATTTTCTCGGTTATTGTCTTCCCCCCACTTCCCAAGTTTTCCCATATTTTCCTGGGACTCGACTATCAATTGTGTCTGTCTGTGTTTTTCCCCTCCTGAAACATGTTTGCAGGCAAAGGGCTCACCGAGGGCCAGAATGCGTGCCTTCGGTGGGACGTCTGCCTTCAGGAAGGCGGCAAGCACCAGAGGAAGCAAAAGCGGCATGCACAGATTCAAAACGTCGGGGTCTGAATGCAACGCCGGAGGCACCGCTCGGGGCGGGCGAGCGCCGATCCAAGAGATCTGCGCGGAGCTCTGGCGGATTCCGGAAACCCTGGACCAAAAGACATTGCCATCTCTTGGGAAGCCGATTCTTACTTCGGCCCGATTCCGCCAGCCTTCTGCCGGCTCCCGCCGCCTTGCGCCGAGGAAGAGATGCCGAATCCTTCGACCCTCGAAGGCGAGACCGCCTTTTGGAACGCCTCATACGCCGCGCTCCCCCATTAGAGGGCTCCTCGTACGACACGCGCCCGTCGTTCCGCGGGTCGGCCTCGCCGAGCAGCGCGGCGGCCCGCTCGCCCTTGAAGGTGTCGCCGAGCACCTGGCGCAGGCTCTCAACCGTGATGTGGCCCGAACCGTCGGCGTCGAACCTCGCGAACGCGGCCAACAGGTGGTGGTCGCCGACGTCGATGTGGGTGCTTACCTTAGATGATGTGAAAGTCGATGGGGGGCGATATTCACCCGTTTTCACGATCTGGTTGGGGGCTTGTTGTTTGTATGTCTGGGAATTCTCGTCCGCACCGTTAGCGGTCCGATTCCGTGATGTACTACCGTTGTTCTCTTGTCGTGCGCCCCTGGTCTAGGCCAAAGAACTGAAAGTTTGAAACAGCAGCAACAACAATAACAGTAAAAAAGGAAACAACAACAACAACAACAACAACAACAACAACAACAACAACAACAACAAACAACAGCCGCATGAGGAAAAAAACAAACAAAAAAACAAAAAAAAAAAAAAAAAAACTACAACAAGAACAACAACAACAACAACAACAATCACGTTGCCTTCATGAGTCATGCTTCCACATGCAACATGCATACATCATGATAACTATCCCCATCCTGGGGGGATTATTTTATTGGCGCATGGGGGGTCCGATATACCTACACCCAGAACTCCCGCCCAAGGAGGTCTCGCGAACACCTCTTCCGAGGAACTTCAAAATACTTGCTCGGAAAGCACATCGCCTTCGAAATCCCTTTGCCCTCGCCCTGGGGGAGGAGAAAAAGGAGGAGAAGGAGGAGGAAAAAGAGAAGAAGGAGACACTGCTCCTTCCCCGGCCCCTCGTGCAAACCCACGGGCTCAGGAAAAACTCAAGGAGGCCGCTTCGCCGTCATCGTCGTCGCCGCCGCCGCTGCCGTCGTCGTCGTCGTGGTCGTGGTCGTGGTCGCGGTCGTCGTCGTCGTCGTCGTCGTGGCCGTCGTCGACCTCGTCGTCGTCGCCGCCGCCGCCGTCGTCATCGTCGTGGTCGTCGTCGCTCCCACGGCTTACACGATATCCACGTCTCCTTACGCGAGCAGCAACGCAGGGAAGCGAAACCAACACATATTGTCACAGCGGCTGGCCCCACGCCCAGTCAGCCTGACGATAAACCCTCTTTGATCATCCTTCCACACCCTCCATGGTCCACGCAAGGCCCGAAGCTGCGCAGAAAGACGATAGAGAAGGAAAAGGCAAGGAGGACGAGGCTCTCGAGAAGGAGGAAGACGAGGACGAGAGAAGAGGAGAGAGGATGAGGAAGAGGAGGAGAGGCCAAGAGGACCACGCATCCCGTCGGGAAGGGCCGTAGTTCACTTCGTTTGTTTGGAACCTTCCTAGGGCCCCCTGAGGCGGGCCTGCGTAAAAAAAGGCCGGGGTATCGAACAGGAGCGCTGTTGTTAGTGATGTTGTTTTGGTTATTGTTGTTGTTGATACTGCTTGTGCTGCTGTCGTTGTTGTTGTTGGTGTTGTAGTTGCTGCTGCTGCTGTTGCTGATGGTGTTGCTGTTGTTGCTGTTGCGATTGTTGTTGTAGCTGTTGATGTTGTTGGCTGATGTTGTTGTTATTGTTGCTGATGTTGCTGTTGTTGTTGATGTTGGTGGTGTGGATGTTGTTGCTGTTGGTGGTGTTGTTGGTGGTCGCTGCTGTTCGTGTTGTTGATGGTGTTGGTATTGTCGTTGAACTCTCATTTCTGAAGAAATAATTACTGTTGATCCCCCCCACCAGTGAACACTGTTTTTTCCCATCAAAGTGTGCCCCTCGATGCTCGCACCCTGCTCTTTGACAGGGGAAGGCTTGATGCTCAAACTGTGCCCCTGACCCCCTGGTTACAACAACAACGGCTCCCGCCTGAGACTTCCTTACAATTTAGCCAGGACCCCCGCTCCTGCTTGACACTTCCTCGTATTTAATTCAGGAATCGCGCTCTCGCTTAGGACTTCCTGACAAAGTATGTAAGAATCGTTCCCTCGGCGTTTTAGAATGGCGCTCTCGCTGGAGACTTGCTTGCAATTGACTTAAGAATAGCGCCCTTGCGTTGGAATGTCACGCAATTTGCTCAAGCGCCGCGCTCCCGACACTCAGGCACCCAGGAGTCGCGCTCACGCTTAGAACTCCCTCACCTATTACTTACGAAACGGAATCTCGCTGCCTTTTCGTGGCCCCCTTGCAGCCCCTCGTGGCTCCCTCGATGCCCTTCGTGGACCCGTTGCAGCCCTTCGTGGCCCCCTCGCTGCCTTTCGTGGCTCCGTTGCAGCCCTTTATGGCCCCCTCGCTGCCACTCGTGGCCCCGTTGCAGCCTTTCGCGGCCCCCTCGCTGCCCCTCGTGGCCCCATTGCAGCCCTTCGTGGCCCCCTCGCTGCCCTTCGTGGCCCCATTGCACCCCTTCGTGGCCCCCTCGCTGCCCTTCGTGGCCCCCTTGCATTGCAGCCTATCGTGGCCTCTCTCGCTGCCCTTCGTGGCCCCGTTGCAGCCCTTCGTAGCCCCCTCGCTGCCCTTCGTGGCCCCGTTGCAGCTCTTCGTGGCCCCCTCGCTGCCCTTCGTGGTCCCATATATGTATGCCCTTCGTGGTCCCCGCTCGTTCGCGCCCGTCGTGGCCCCATAGGCATGCTCTTCGTGGCCCCGCTGTCGCCCTCTGTGGCCCCCTCGCTGCCCTTCGTGGCCCCGTTGCTGCCCTCAGTGACCCCGTCTTTGCCCTCCGCGGCCCAATATATGCATGCCCTTCGTGGCCCCCGCTCGTTCGCGCCCGTCGTGGCCCCATGTGCATGCCCTTCGTGGCCCCGCTGTCGCCCTTCGTGGCCCACTCGCTGTCCTACGTGGCCCAGTTGCTACCCTGAGTGGCCCCGTCGTTGCCTTCTGTGGCCCCGCATTATCTGCCCTTCGTGGCCCCCGCTCGTTCGCGCCCGTCGTGGCCCCATGTGCATTGCCTTTGTGTCCCCGCTGTCGCCCTTCGTGGCCTACTTCGTGACCTTGGTGGCCCCGCTGTCGTTTTCGCTCTCGCTCTCGCTTTCGCTCGTCGTCGTCGCCGTCGTCGTCGTCGCCGTCGTCGTCGTCGACGTCGTCGTCGTCGTGGTCGGTCCCCTGTCCGTCCCTCTTGGGGTCGGGCTGCCGCCGATCAGCGCTGCCGCTGGCCAGGCCGACGGTCCGCGGCCGCCCCGCCTCTTGCCAGGGCCCGGCCTGCAGGGAAGAAAAGCTTATCCCCCCAAAAGCCAAAAAGGGGTTCGATCGAAGACGAACAGGGCGGGCATCGAGGGTTCGGGAAATACGCGTTAACGGACACTCGAGCAGATAAGAGCGAACAGTCTTAAAACGATTGTTGTTGTTGCTGCTGCTGTTGTTGTTGCTGTTGTTGCTGCTGTTGCTCGGGGGGCCGGTATGGCGGGACCCCGAAACGCCTGAGCGTGAGACTCGCCTTCGCAGGAAATGCAGCCGGCGCCCAGGCGAGAGCTCCAGGGCGTACTCCGGAGGGCCAACAACAAAAACTGCTCAGCAAGTGAGCTCCCACAGTGACTCTGGAAGCCCCCCAAAGGCGACTCCGACACGAGGGCCGCAGTCTGGAGTGAAAGGCTGGGAAGTAGCGAGCGGGAGTGCCGTTGTTGTCATGGTGGACCGTTTGCGGCGCCGGGGCGAGAGCGCCGATTGGGAAAGCGGGCGTTCGGCGCCGAGGCGAGAGCGCCGACCCTGCGCAAAAGGCGAGGACGTATCGAGCTGGAGCGCCGGTCTGGTGGGAACGCTGGCTGTCGGCGGCGAGCACAAGCACCGGGCCCGAGCAAAAAAGAAGGAAGTATCGAGCTGGAGCGTTGCTGTTGTTGTTGTTGGAGGGTCGATTTGGCGAAACCCCGCAACGCCTGAGCGAGAGCCTCGATTTCAAAGGAAATGCAGCCGTCGCCTAGGCGAGAGCGCCAGGGGTCCAATAATAAAGACTGCTTGATACATAAGGTACAACAACAACAACAACAACAACAACAACAACAACAATCATTTTACCCGAACGCGTGGTGTTCTCCCCAGTGCCAGGTTTTTCATACGACACCAGGCAATACCCCCACTTCGTGGGGGGGCATTACAAGCTCTACCAAATATCCAAACGACTCTTCGCGACCACCCAAACCCAGCTTCCCGCCCTATGACGTTGGGACACTTCACTTCGTGGCGTGCGGACGACCGTGGCTACTACACTGGCGTGGGGTACACACCCACAGAACTTGGTCACTTATTCGGGGCGGTGTATGTCCCGCAAAAAAAACGAATCTGTCCCGCATGGTATTATTTGACAGGGATGATGGCCCTGGCAGGTGCGCAACCGTTGTCGCAGAAGTTCGAAAAAGTTGCTCGCAAAAGCCCGTTTGACAGAAATGTTAAAAAGTGTTGGGTTTCCTACGAATCCGCAAGAGCGCGCGGGATGAGATTTTGACATTTTTTTGTTGAAAAACCATTGGTTTTTTGATGTTTTTATGTTAAAATCGCTCCGAACACTAAGCTTTTGGAAGGATTTCGTCTTGCGCGCGCGAATGTCCACTTTACCTTATTTTTTGCAAGGGATTCTTGAAATTTGATTATATTTGAACAAGAAATTTCATTTTATAGTGTTTTTTGCAAGGGAAAACGGATTACAACAAAACAACCGGATCTTGATCAACTCGAATTACCTGAGGCTTCCTCACGAAAATGATGAAAACGTGGCTGCGGCCTAGGCGCGGCGGGGGGGGCGCGCACCAGGGGGCCCAACAATAATTATTCTTTAGAATTAATAATGTTCAACAACACAAATCAACAACAAAACCAGCAACAAACCCAACAACGACGACCACAACGACAAGGACAACGACAACAACAACGACAACAAAAACAACAATCAGTTTAAGACTGTTCGTTCCATTTTGCTCACGTGCCAATCAGTACGTATATCCCAAACCCTCGGTACACGCCCTCGTCGTCTTCGATCGTACCCCCTTGGGGCCTATACATTCCTTACCTTCCACGTGTACTTAGGGCAGCCCGTAAGAAAGACAAGGGAAGAGAGGACGGGTGGAAGGGGAAGGGAGAAGAATGGAGCACGAGAGAAACTAGGAGGGGGGGCAAGGAGCAGAAAATAAGTAGTAGAACCAGATGGGCAAATCGGGTGGGCAGACCCATAGCGGGCAGGTCGGAAGGCGGACCCAGGCGACGAGGTCGAGCAGGCGGGTTGCTGAAGCGTGGGTCCTGCATGAATCGCAAGGAAGTCTCGAGCGATAGCGCGATTCCCAAGTAAATCGTTAGAAAAGCCAGCGTGGGCCACGAAGGGCATAAAATCCGAGGCCACAGAGGGCAGCGACGAGGCCGCTGAGGGCAGCACCAAGGCCACGAAGGGCAGCGAGGGGGCCACAAAGGGCGACAGCGGGGACACGAAGGGCATGCACATGGGGCCACGGCGAGCACGAACGAGCGGGGGCCACGAAGGGCAGTCGTATACGGGGCCACACAGGGTGACAGTGGGGCCACTGAGGGCAGCAAAGGGGCCACGAAGGGCAGCGAGAGGGCCACGAAGGGCGACAGCGGGGACACGAAGGGCATGCGTATGGGGCCACGACGGGCCCGTGCGAGCGGGGGCCACGAAAGGCATAGAATGCGGGGCCATAAAGGGCAGCGACGGGGCCACTGAGGGCAGCAACGGGGCCATGAAAGGCAGCCAGCGAAGGCGACCGCGGAACCAATACGGGGGCAGCGAGGGGCATCGAAGGCGGGCGAAGGGCAGCAAACGGCGACTGTAGTCATTAACGGGCTGGTGGGGCGGGCAGGCCCCGACGGGCGGGTCGAGCGGGCGGGTCGTTGAAGTGTGAGTCCTGCTTGAACAGCCAGGCAATATGTAGCGGGAGCGCGATTCCTGAGTGTCGAGGACTGGCATCTGAATAAATTGTCAAGAAATTTCAAGCGAAGCGGTTCGGTGGTAAGTTGCGAGGAATTTCTCTTCGATCGAAGACGAAGAGGGCGGGTATCGAGGGTTTGGGAAATACGCGTTATTGGACAGTCGAGCAGATAAGGGCGAACAGTCTTAAAATGATTGTTGTTGTTGAGTTCTCATGTCTGAAGAACAATTATTGTTCGCCCCCCCACCTGGTGCACATTGTTTTTTCGATTGAAGTGCCCCTCCCGGGGCTCGCACCCTGATTTTTTAAAGGGAAGGTCTTGAGGGTCAAACTGTGTCGTCGGCCCCCGGTTTGCAACAACATCGGCTCCCGCCTGATATTTCCTCACAGTGTATTGAAGAATCGCGCTCTCGCTTGGAACTTCCTGGCAATTTGCCACCGAATCGCGGCTCCCGCCTGATACTTCCTGATAATGTACTGTAGAATCGCGACAGGGGACCGACCACGACGACGACGTCGACGACGACGGCGACGACGACGACGGCGACGACGAGCGAAAGCGAGAGCGAGAGAGAACGACAGCAGGGCCACGAAGGACACGAAGTAGGCCACGAAGGGTGACAGCGGGGACACGAAGGCAATGCGCATGGGGCCACGAAGAGCGCGAACGAGCGGGGGCCACGAAGGCCAGATAAAGCGGGGCCACAGAAGGCAACGATGGGGCCACTGAAGGTAGCAACTGGGCCACGTAGGACAGTGAGGGGGCCACAAACGGCGACAGCGGAGCCACGAAGGGCATGCACATGGGGCCACAACGGGCGCGACTCCTGGGTGTCTGGGTGTCGGGAGCGGGGCGATTAAG